AAAAAAAAAAAAAAATTAAAAAAAAAAAAAAAAAAAAGGAAAGATAATTAAATACACATAAGACAAACCTCCGATATAAAGCCACAACATAACGCAATCATCATTGTAAATTGATCTCTCGAGTACTAACATTGAGAATGCGTTGTCATACTGTTTTTTATCCAATTCGGATGGCACACAAAATTTAGGAACCTGCTACTACTTTAGCATTCAAATTCAGATGCTGTTATGGCATTTAGATCTTTCATTAGACCCTCTAAATTGGCCATCTCTTGATTCAATTCTTCTGTGCTATATGAAGGCTGTGAAGATAAAAAAAAAAAAAAAAAAAAAAAAAAAGAATAAAAAAAAATAAAAAAAAAAGAAAATTGGAAAAAGAAAATTTAGATATAAATATCTTATCTCACACTTGTCGAATATAATTTAAACTTTGATCTTATTTTTTTTTTATTTTTTTATTTTTTATTTATTTTACCTTTAATCGTTCTACTTCCTCGGAAGTATGTGCTGGATTAGAAACCGAAGCTAATCGGTTCTTCGCTAATTGCGACGTAGACCCTTGAGGCTTTTTATACGGACTACCAGACATCGTTGGTCTTACCGTTACTTGTGATACTAAAGACATTAAAATACATGTAAAAACAATTGATAGATTATACGTAATAAATATTATTGTATATTAAAACCAACCTCCGTGTTTCTGCTGTGCTGGGGTAGAAGGAGCAGATTGAGGAGGAGGTGCTGGTACGCTAAAGCTTTTCAATGGGTGTCCTTGAAGCCTTTTACTAGTGCTACTATCTAACGCCGTAGCACTACTAGTAGGCTGATTACCACTGCCATAGTGACTGGAAGCATACTGGCTACTCCCACTGTATGACTGTCCACTTTGGCTATATGGTAACTAAACGAATATTTCATTGCACAATTAGAATAAATGGTATAATATGATAGCGATATTTCATGTTAAAAAAAAGAAATAAAAGAAAAAATAAAATACTTTTTACAGAAAAGTCTCTTACTTGACTTTGTAGAGGTTCGTAAGAACTTGGCATATTACAAGAATCTGGACTCGATTCTGGTGTTGGCTCTAACGTGATGTGCGCTCGGCTTAAACTGTATTGTGCCACGGTACGTGGATAATTTTGTCTCACCGACGGAGCATCCGTGCACGTACTGTGTATTGTTGGCTGTGACAAACTGCTATTGACAATTGGTGTTGCAGTTGCTATAGCTGGAAAAAATTAAAAGATCACTGTCCATAATAGGATAAACGAAGGGTGTGTCTCAAAGAAAAAGAAAAAAAAAGAAAAAAAAAGAGAAAAAAGAAATGAAAAAAATTTTAAAATTAAAAAAGATTAAAAAATATATATATAAAAAAAAAAAAAAAAAAAAAAAGAAAAAATAAAAGAAGAAAAACTATGATAGAGAATGATAAGTTTGTGAATGTTGCAATGAAATCTCATGGAGATGTATGTATGTATGTATGTAGATAGTAGCTTAGAAGCTACTTACGCTGATGTACAGGTGCACTGTCGACAGGAAGTGTTATGAGTTTAGGTTTGTGGCTTCCCCGACTGTGCTGTCTGCTCAGGGTAGAGCACTTCTCATCAGTGTTACCTAACATTGAATAAATGAAACAAAACCAAATAGCAAAATCAGAATAATGATAAAAAAAAAACAACCATACTGTGATAGCATTGAATTTAAAAAAAAAGAAAAAAAAAAAAAAGAAATAAAAAAATAAAAAATAATAAAGAAGAAACACAAAACAAAGAATTATGTTTTAAGAGAGGGGGAAAAAAAAAGAAGAAAATCATCAAAATCGTGTCGTTTCGTGTGAAATGTCCTACTTGTGCAGTTTAAATAATGCTCATATATCATATAGAAAATAAAATATTTTTGTTTGGTGAACGATGCACTTATTATAATCTGTTGAAATGTATTTTTTTTTTTTTTTTATTCTCAATTTAATCTAAACTTACCCATATAACTAGGTACATATGTGCGCTTGTCTAACGAGCTGGAATTTCCATGTACATTATCTTGAGTATACTCCTGATTTCCTGATCTTGGTAAAGTATTACTAGCAACACCACTCGTAGATGCTTCACCATTGATAGAAGACTTTTCAAGAGCTTTTAATTCCATTTGATCATGATGAATCCACAAGTCCGGTGGTTTAATATTTGTTTTTAGATTCGCATCTTTCATATATCTGCATTCAACAAATAATATAAGATTGTTAATTATTCTTTAACATTGTCATAAAATAACATAATAATTAATAACAATAAATGTTACCCTTTCTTTCGATCCGGCGAATCCGGATTACGCTTACAGCACATTACAACAACGACCACTGCTACACCAGTAATCAGGATAACTGCACAACCTACTGTAATGTAGATCAATATATTGGATAGACCACGGTCATCTGGAAAATTATTAACACATTTGTTTTATAGGAGAATTGTAATAATAAATTTTTTATGTTGAAATATGTGGTTTCTTTCTTTTTATATATATATATATATTTCACGATATCTACTTATAAAAACGAAATATTATACAAATAACATAACAATCAAAAATTACATTCGAGCAACATGCTCCATCAATGGTAAAAAAACAAAGGAAGCTAGAGAGAAGAGATGATAACGATATCTTACCTCGAACATGCAATTCATCATAGATATCAATGCCATTGCCTAGCACAGAAAAAAAATTAAAAACACCATAAGTAACGCATTGCCTTTGTACGAACAACAAAACATACTGAAAAATGAAGAGAAGAAAAAAAAAAAGAAAAAATAAGTAATAAATAAAAGAAGAAGAAGAATAATAATAATTACAAAGACAAAAACAAAAATTAAAAAAAGAAAACAGAAAAAAAAAAAAACTTGTAAGGTAACAATTAAATAATACCTTACACACAACATATAAATACTTATGTTCAAGACCATTTCCGAGTTAATTATATCATAAACCAGATTTAATACTCAGCAACACATTAAACGACTTTCTTTAAATAAACAATAACAGACCATCGATAGTAGAACATTTGGCGCAACAAAAAGAAAAAAAAAGAAAAAAAAAAAAAAAGAAGAAAAAGAAAAAACTTACTTTGCGGTGTTTTAAATGAAACTGTTGTCGAAAATGGTCCATATCCTTTCGAATTACGTGATTGAATCTTGAAATAATATGTCGTACTTGGTTGTAACATTTTTATTACAAATTCTGTCTTATCACCAATCACAGCTTCGATCAACCAGTCACGATCCCATTTATTATTATCCGTAGAATAAAAGATTATGTATCCTGATAATAAAATATTTTCTTATTAACACAATTATCACATCTATTATATTTATAATTACATAGAATTTTATTAACCAGTGATTGGTCCATTTAGCTGTTTAGGTGGTTGCCATCGTAAAATTACTGAAGTCGGTCGATCTTCGACACTATGAACACTTAAATCCCTTGGTGGAGAACTCGGTGCAGCTTCCTGAGTTTGATTCAATACTACCATACTCCATGGTGATTCTCTTTTTCCCTATAAGAAAGATTAATTATGTGAAAAAAAAAGAAAAAAAAAATATATATATATACATAAAAAGCTTTTCTGCTTTCTTTTTTTTAAATTCCTATATAATTTATATAAAATCATATTGTATACCTTGATAACTTTAACAGTGAATTCGTATTGTGTATTAGGTTTTAGATCATTTATCATACAATTTAAATCAGTGGCGTTGTAATACTTATAACGAGGATTGCTGCTATGATGATATGACGTATAACGTACGACATAATAGCGATTATCTGTTACATACTGCAAATGATAATATTTAATAATTTAATGATTGATCACAATTATTTTAAAATTATATGTACTTAAAAAAAAAAAAAGTTATATATATAATTAGATATACTTGGCTTTTTGGGAGAGTTGTATCAGTCCAATAAAGTACTACAGTAGCTGCTGATAAAACGATCGCTTTAAGACCAACCGGTGGTATTAAAGGCACAACATATTCGGATACAGAACGTTCTGTAGTTCTTACGTTTGCATAAGCTGGCTGACCTTCACCAGCCTCATTTGTTGCTCTTATAGAAATAACGTATTCCGTTGTAGGTTCTAATATAAAAATGAAAGATGATTAAAAAAAGAAAAAAAAAAAATTATATTTTGCTTATGTATATATATACATATTTATATCTATAAAATATACTTAAAGTATAAATATAATATACTTACATATATATATAATATATTTAAAAGAAATTATAAATATATATACCTAAAGATTCAATAGTAAAAAATCGTTGTTTTCCATCAAGAACTTGATCTTCAACATCAGGATATCCTTTACCCCAACCAATTCTATATCCTCTAACTTTAATACTCTGATCTTTCGGTGGATTCCACCAAAGCGATATAGAATCAGCCATAGATTTTGCTATTAAAAAAAAATATATATATATATATATATATATATATATATATATAAATAACATTTATGATAATATTACAATTGATAAGTATGATTGAAGATAAAGCTTGATAATAAAATGAAATTACTTCTTATGTGACTAGGTGCACCCGGCACGTTAGTCTCGTCTAGATCATTCTCATATGTTTCTATAGTCATCCATTCGGTCCAAGGTCCAGTTCCATTAACATTTAAGGCACACATTCGAACTTGATATATGACATGCTTTTCGAGGCCAGTAATCACGTACAAACGTTGATTTCCTTCGGTTGTAACTGAATTTGGTGAGAAACGACGATCGTGTCGACGATATCGAATTTTATAACCGGTAATAATACCATTTTGACCGTCCAACGGTGGTTCCCATCTTACGATAATACTCTAAAAATAGATATACAAAATTTTTTATCATTATTTTGTAAATGATTATAATTAATAATTATTAATATAAAATTCATACAGTTGAACTAGCTGCTTCTAATGTAACATTATGGGGTGGTTGTGTAGGTTGAGCACTGTGTGTTCGAACTAGAACGTCTCTAGTATATGCACCAGGACCATTTTCATTGACAGCTTGAACTCTAATACTGTATTCTGTATAAGGCACGAGATCTACCAATTCGTACGTTGTACTTGTGGTTTCACGTGTTTTTTCCTCGACATCTCCCTGAAGATTGAAAGAACATGGATTATAACAATTAATAGATAAGTCCTTAACTTAAAATAATAAACGATGGAGTATAATAATAAGAGGATTATCTACCTCTGTATATGTGATAATATATTTAGAAATACGTCCATTAATAACTTGCGGTTCGTCCCACGACAAAGCAATGCTTGCACTGCTAGTTGCATGGCCTTCTAAATTCATCGGTGGTCCTGGTACATTTGCCTGTTAAATTTAATTAAATATAAATATATACGAGAGATATAAACCTATGTACATACATATATATATACATACGACTCTTATCTACAAAAAGAAAAAGATATATTACCTCAGACTGAGTGGTCACTTGTAATACTTCACTAGAAGCACCAGGACCTCTTGAATTTTGAGCAACTATTCGAAACTGATAAGTCATACTTGGCTGTAAGCTTGATATCATTGCCTCTAATTTTTGAGTGTTGACAACACGTTCTCTATCAACATATTATTATCGTCTTCTTTTTTATCTCAATATTATCTTCTCACCATTAAGAATTCTAATTAGGGTTTATGAAGAAATTACCTTTGTACACCTTCCTGTTTATAATAAATGTAATAATTTAAAATATCGCCATTTGTATTTTCTGGTTCTTGCCAACGTAAAGTGACGAATCTTGCAGTAACGATGATTAAGCTCAAATTTCTAGGAGCGGATGGTACGCTGCCTTCAATCGACTCGATGCTTTCTGTATCATCTACAAAATGGGTATCTGGATCGTAAAGGGAGCTAGGATATTTAACCAATCCTGGAAGATCGGTTGGATCATCGGAAGGACTGATCGATAACGGAGGATTTGGTGTAAATGCCGATAACGTGTGTCCTAAGAGTGTACTAGGATGTTGCCATGTTTTATTATATAAAGGACGATACAGTAATTTTTTTTTTGGGACGGACTTTGGAGTCGTTGCTTTGTGAGCAGTTGTTTTTTCTTCATACATTCGTTAGCATGCAGCACAGTTAAGGGGGAAACGTTATGGGTGAAAGAAAGAAAGAAAGAAAGAAAGAAAAAAAAAAAAGAAAAAAAAGAAAAAAAGAAAAAAAAAGAAGAAAGAAAGAGAAAAAAAAAGAAAGAAAAGAGATAAAATTAAATTCACAAATAAAAAATAAATGAATTTTAATTTGATGCAATTAAATAAATCACATATATACAGTTTTCACATAAAGTCAGATGACACATTAAACGATAATTATGATTAATATGTAATTAAATGGACTTCATGTAAATTCTGTATATATCTTCATGATCGAATACTTTATGATCAATATTTTCTGATCGAAAAATTATAAAACTAATAAATTTATCGACTATGATGAGAAAAAAAAAGAAAAAATATATATATATATACATATACGCAATAAAACGAATATAGAAATAGGAAAGAATATTATTTGACTTTTCTATGATATAAGGTATGAAAACTCACTAGGTTGATTAATAGTAAGTCGTGCCGATGCTTGGACACTACCAGCAGGATTTATTCCTATGCACTGAAATATTCCAGCGTCTATCGCAAGAAGGCCATTGATTCTAAGATTGTTACTGTAAATTGTATTGGAAATAAATCAATATTATGTTATGCGTATGTTGTGTTAACAAGTAACTATATTTTCATTTGTTTATAATAAATAGACCTAAAGTATTCAACTGATTTTAAAAATCAATTTACTCTTTTTAGAGATCTTTTAAGTTAATTATCTTTTTTTTTGTTTTTCAGAGTATAAAAATGTATCTAGGCTTGTGTAGTTTCACAATCTGAAAAAAGACAAAAAAAACAAAAAATTAGCCTAAAAAATCTCCAAAAGAATCAATCAATTTTTAATATCGCCTAAAAACTTTTAGCCTACCATATATGTGTATGCGCGTGCGTGCGTGTGCGTGTGTATGTGTGTGAGCAAGTGTATATGTAATCTATAATCCATACCCATTAATTATTTGCCAATATTCGTTAACAGTAATTCGTTCTCCATTTTTCAACCACGTAACTTTTGGTTCTGGTTTTCCATAAATCTCACATTCAAATTCTAAATCTTGACTTTCACTGGCTATTTTGTCTTCCGGTTTCTTAATAAACTTTGGCGGAACTAAATTGTTTATTTGAAATAAAGTTTAAGAAATTATAAATTCATTGAAGATAATTATATGAGAATCAATATATATATATATATATTGTAAATAACCTTGAACTATGATCTCGGCAACAGAATCTAACGTCTCAACCTCATTTTCGGCACGACATTGATACGAGCCATGATCTGCTTCTTTAAGATCAGTGATCATTAGACTTGACGCGGCTATTTTACGATATCTGCAGAGAGAGAGAGAGAGAGAGAGAAAGAGAGAGAGAGAGAGAGGGGGGGGGGGGAGGGAGGTAAAAGGAGAAAAAGAGAAAAAGAAAACAGAAAAATAAAATGTAAACATTAGCAGACTGGAACAATTCTTTTAAATATAATTTCACATCGTACCTAGAGTCGAACGATCCTAAGTCTATAGACACACCATCTTTCAGCCAAAAAATTGTAGGTTTAGGATAGCCATTAGCAGCGCATTCCAAAGTAACAGTGGAACCTTCAACGGCTACTTGTTGCGAAGGTTGCGCAATAAAAATCGGCGGTGAGGATCCTTGGTCTGTTAAATAAAATAAAATTAAAAAAAAAAAGAAAAAGAAAAAGGAATAACGGAAAAACTTTGAAAGTAAACAATAAATTAAGCTTTCTTCTGACAATAAATAAGTATGACGACGATACTAACCGATGTCACTAGTTAATAGCCCTAATTGCGCTTTGTTACTTAAACGGTACTGTCCATAACCACTTGCATTACATCTATACGATCCGATATCCTGAATCTGTACATCGTCTATCTCCAAAGCACCTGTAAAACGAAACGATAATATCACGATACTTTTCTGGATTTGGCATTTTCTTCTTTTTTCTTTCCACCCTTTCTCCCACCCAAAACAATAATGTATTAGAATTTTTTTTTCTTTTCTTTTCTTTTCTTTTCTTTTTTTTTTCTTTTCTTTTTTATACCTGACGGCATAATCGTCATACGATTTTCGTCGAGTATCATAGGCCGTTCGTCCTTGAGCCATTGTATTTTTAATAAGCTAGATGAGGCCGGAAGTGTGCAACTCAAATAGGCTATTTGTCCTGGATAAACCATAGTATCTTGGGGTTCTTTCTCAAAACCAGGCAAACCTTAAAAATATTCATATATTTTCGATTGAATTGATAATCGAATTGATATAGGATTTATTTTATGAAATTTGTACATATTGAATATTCTCAAAGAAAAAAAAAATTAAAATAAAAATAAATAAATAAAAGTAATTAAATTAACTATCTTAATATATATATATATATATATATATATATATATATATATCTTCCACTAACTTGCAAGTTTGATCGTTGCAGTTCGAGAAACAATAGCTCCAACATCATCTACGGATGCTAGGCATTGATAGCTTCCAGTTAATTCTGAACTACCGGCGTATACGCTATTTATGTACAAGGATCCATTTGCTAGCTGCGATCTACACAAAGAAATAACGACAAAAGAAATAAGAGAATGAAGAAGAAGATAGATTCGGAGCATCGGATAGGGAATTGTTAGGAAAGGAGGGTGAGTGGGAAGGAGGTAAGTAAAGTGGAAGGAAGAAAGGGGAGAAAAGAAAGAAGAATATGTGAGAGAGACAGACAGATAGAGAGAGAGAGAGAGAGTGAGAGAAGATGTTCGAAGATGAACGAGCACGCTCGTCGAGTTGAGTTAATAGTTTACCGATAGTTTTCCCCGATAAAATTAATCGGCGTGCCATCGTCCGTTCGCCACTGTATCGTAGGCTGACCAAAAATACTTTTCGCTTCGCAATCCAATCTGGCGGATCCTCCTTGCTCGACTACAACATCCTGCGGCTCGATGGTGAAATACAATCCTCCGCCGTTTACTCCTGTAAGAACAGATCAAAATAAAAACAAAACGAAAAAAATTAAAAAGAAAAAAAAAAGAAAAAAAAAGAAACAAAAAGAAAGAAAGAAAGAAAAAAGAAAAAAATAATATTTAGAATAACCAAGATCACCGATATGATAACTTAATATTAATAATATATATGCCATACGTACTCAGGGTGACCCAATGATTATATTATCATTACGTTTGATGAATCAATAAATAAAACATTCTTTCACTTGATAATAATTCCTTGACTCACTCTATAATTGAATGGTGGTAGGGTGATAAGGTAATGATGGATGGTTGGAGGGGGTAAATTTTATATGGGTCCTTCTTCCCTATATATCCCGATAAATGTCCCATAAGAGAAGAGAATTTTAACGAGCATGCTGGACACCCGTTAGAATAGAAGCAGCACACCAACGTACACTACTATCGAATTTCGTAGACGTGTGTTTCGTGACCTATTCGAATGCAGGGACGGACGCACGCACGTGTAGGCGTATGAAGTGTCAGGGGCGTACGCTTAGAGAGCTGCCTTTGTCGAGTAGTAGTAGTCTACGAAGGGGATGAGACGACAAACAAAGGGCCGACGACTCTGTAGCGACGCCACCCTTCTGCCCTTTTCTTTGGCTAGACCATTCAAATGCTTGAATTTTCTCTCCTGTTCTCTCTCTTCTCTCTCTCTCTCTCTCTCTCTCTCTCTCTCTCTCTCTCTCTCTCTCTCTCTCTGTGTGTATGTGTGTGTATGTGCGTGTGTATGAATGAGAGTGCGTGTACAGACAGATATTAATAACTAAACTTACCATTAGAGGAAAATAGATATTAAAATCATGCATATTCAGTATATATATATATGCATATCTTCAAAATGCATGTATTTCAATATCTCCTATCTTCTAGTTACAATTCCAATTTTAATATCTGTCCTAATCGCTTGACTATTCTTAATGACAATTTTTAACACAACCCTGCAAACAATAATTTTGTTTTCATTGCTCTTTTATGTTGAGTATATCAATAAATTTTATCTCTCTATCTCTCTATTTCTTCCTACGCCATGATCATTAGAAAGATACAAGACAATTCAACACGACGCTCGTGAATTGGTCACCGTATAGTGATAGAAAAAAAAAAGGAAGAAAAAAGAAAAAAAGAGAAAGAGAAAGAGAAAGAGAAAGAGAGAAAGAGAGAGAGACCAAGAGGAGCAGCTCTTTCGGGGACAGTTTTATGGTGTACGATGCGAGAGATTGTGGGGAGAACATAATTCCTTGTCTTGAGGCTCTTCTCTCCCTTTAAAGGCCGGACGTATTTTTCTCGATACAATGGTTGTCAGGGTAGGGGAGATTAAAGAGTCCATAGGCCGATGCCTGGAACGATTAGAAACGTTAAAAACCGTAGAAAATGATCAAGATGGTTAAATGACACAACTGTGTGGAAGATGATACATACGTGTATATATACATATATATATATACATATATATATATATACATGTATATATATACATATATATATATATATATACACACACACAAGAAGACATATATATGCATAAACGTTTAACATAAATCCAAATCAAAAGGTATCTAAGAAAGGAAAGGATAAAGAAAATTCTCTTATGTAGAATGTAACTTATACCATTTAATGCTGACCAATCGTAATAGAAGTGGACAATAAAATTAAACTGTAAATGCAATACGAGACGAAGAATGATATCGACGTGAAACGATACCTCAAAGATGATTTCACTCATTATTGGAAAAGAGGAGAAGCAGCGTGTGGTGTATGTGTGATCGATCATTTGATTGATCTTATAAAAAAAAAAAAAAAAAAAAAAAAAAAAAAAAAAAAAGAAAGGAAAACTATCAGTACTCGAAGCATTTAAACGATTATTTATGTCGTTGGCACGTCGATGAATTACCTCGAAAGCCAATAATGCTGACATTATTTTTCTTTCTTTTTTTTTTTTCTTTTTTTTTTTTCCTTTTTTTCTTTTTAAAAAGAAGGCCGTTCCTTCGATTCCACTCTTATGCAATGAGATTCCCGTGAGGCCTTCTTCTTCTTCATCGTCTTAATCTTCCTTCTCTTAGTTAGAATTCCATTTGCACGTAGACATTCTTTCTCTACATTTCTTCTCTTCTTTTTTCTTTTTTCTTTTTTCCTTGTTGAAAAATTTCTGATTTTCTCTTGGATTTTTCTCTTGGAGCGACGCGATATTCACGTTAAAGAAACAAAAAGAAAAACACTGCCCGGAAGGTATTCGAAAAGTTTTCAAAATGGCGCGCGAACGACATCGTGATACTAAGGAGGGTGGGAGTGGGGGGTGGGGGTTGAAGGAGGAGGATTACTACGCCTAAAGGCCGGTTTGCATTTTGCTACGCTTGGTCGCATGTCGCTTCTTCTTCTTCTTCTTCTTATTGGTGTTTATTCGCCAGTACGACGTACGCGTATTGGTTACTCGATGGTTTTTCGCAATTCTTGAGTAATTAATTGGTACTCGGTAACTATAACACATTTCGCTTTACCGATATACTACGAATATGAAACCGAATGAAGAGAATATTATCGACGTCGGGGTCTGCTGCTTTCTACGAAGGGATACACACAACACACACACACACACACACACACACACGTTGTACATCTGGGTGTAGTTGGTTGGAGCGATCGAATATTGCCGATAGGTGATGAAGGTTAGGCCAAGCCCAGTGATTCTCAATTCATCATTGATCTTTCGCCTATCGACATAGATAAAACTAGATATTTCAAATATCTCAAGTGGTTTTTCCTCGAACTAAGAATAGATATATCTCTTTTGATAAAGATATGTGCGTGGATAAGAAAAAAAGAAAAAATAAAAAAGAGAAAGAGAGAGAGAGAAAAAGAAAAGAGAGAAAAAAAGGGGTAAGTAAATGAATGCGATCACCACCCGTATCTCCATTTTATTCTTACAAAAGGAGAATTACGAAAAACGTTCGATCTTATTCATTCAGGAGTAACGTCGGCCAAGAGTGAGATAAATTTGTTAATTATCGTGAGTAAGAAAGGAGGATGGGGGAGATGAGGTCGAGGAGGGAGATTGGTATAAGAGAGTGTCGAGTTTACGTTACGTGCTCGAACGATTACTTTTCCTAGGATCAAGATAATGAAAAGTAGTATGTGTGTGTGTGTGTGTGTGTGTGTGTGTGTGTGTGTGCGTGCGTGCGTGTGTGTGTGTACATAGACGAAACTCTAGCCGTAACTGAGAAGCACTGGCCCCGGTTATTGGGTTACAGTTTCGCGCTCACGGTGGTCTGTCACCTTTGCCGTGAGCCTTCGCGTGTGAAAGAGAAAAAGAGA